CACCAACACCAATACTTATCATATACCAACAGGTGTGCATAGCAGTAAGCATCAGCAGTTTTCACGATGCTGCTAAGTAGGTACAGATGTTCTTTTGGAAGGACTCTATCACCTCTATAGTCTTCTACAAACAGCTACTTTGACTTAAAAAAGACTACCAAAGCCCAGCAGATCCTTGTCAGGAATCCCATGACCAGGAGAGAAAATCTCATTCTCAGGAACAGCATCTGGGATAACAGGCTGTACTTATCTGGAGTCCACTTTGACCTGTGAGAAGTGGATCCAAGCTGTATGTCTTTTGATCCTCTGAAGCCTATGTAAATTTTGTTATACAAAAGGATATAAAGTTTATAGGTACATTAGCATTATCAATTGGTACTGAAATCTACATTGTAGAAAAAGCAGATATCTGGGTATCTGTATTTTGTGTCCTAGCAGAAACTACAGATTTGGGCTAGTAGCATACATTTGTCTTCTGTACAGGGAGCTAGGTATGAATTGGCCAGACGTATCTTTGGCCTGATGAAAAGCCCTTTAATTTTATACTTAGATGATAACCAAAATAAACCTAAAATCCTTGAGCTTGTGATTGAACAAGTATTTACATCCTTTGATCCTTATTGAGACATATTAAGGCTTGATTTTTACATAAATAAAATGAGCTACCAAGCTGACTACAGTCTTATAGATTTGGCTGCCTGATGTCAAGCTGACAACCATTAATACTTTTAGAGATCTGAGAAGGATAAATTTTATACAGTCTCTAAATCTATTAAAAAGTGCCAGGTACCATATATAGCCATATCCAAGTCTCCTGTAGTAGCACTGGAGGCACAAGTATCAGGAACAGCATCAATCTCTACCATGCCTGTAAGGTGAGTTTTCTTTCTCTCTGTGCAAGAGGGATATGGAAAAGGCTGACCTTGTTTTGTCTCGGCAAAAGGGGTGCAATCAATTTAGCAGTGGCCAGTAGCTTTGTCCACATTCTGGTCCAGGTCCTGGCAGCAGCAGGTGTTACCTTTGAGCATCTTGCTTAGTGGTCAGCGTCAACACAATCCAGGTGTAGGCACTGTGGTGCCTTGTAATCTTCTTTGGAGACTTTGGGTCACTCTTAGGATATGGAAGTCTGTCTGATATTATAAACTTTTAAATTAACATTTTAAATGCCATGTTCTGCAGGTCTCTGAAGTATTAGCGGTTTGTCTGCCTTAAGTTTAACTGTTGAAAATATAAACTTTATTAACCTTTATAAAACTAGAACTGTCAGGTTTAGCTTTACATATTTTAACAGTATAAATATCTTATAACCTTATCAATTGAAAACATTTTAAAAACTGTTCTGAAATCTCTTAAAGTTTTTTTAATTAAAATATGTTTTAAGCCTTTATTATCTGGGTGACTGTTAAATTATAAAACTTAGCATTCCTGTGTATAAAAGCATATTAACCTTTATAAAACTAGAACTTTATACTGTCAGGTTTAGCTTTAAACATTTTAAATCTGAATAAAAACTTGTTGATAGCATGGTACCTCATAACTTCCATGTGGTCACATTTAATTAAGATGGTGGATCAGGTATCTCTTTTAACTTTAGTAAAATGGCTACCAGCCAGCCATGTGGCCAGCTTGGCATGTGACTGACTGTAAAATGGTGGCGACCTGTACCACTTTTGTTTTAGCTCTATGCTTGTAATAAAACTTAGATTATGACAGAAAATACAGATAGAACTTTTTAACAAAACAAGCATACATAAGTTTTGAGAGATTAATTTTTAAAATTTAGCATTTGAAGAAATGAAACATCAAAGTACATAGTTTGCATTTTTCTTTTTTCTTGTAGTTATAACTTTAAGGCCATTTAGTTTCTGTGGAAAGACCGGATCTGGCCAAATGGCTTACCTGCTCCAGCCCTGTGTGCTTGAACAGGGAGCTCTGGTGTAGGGAAAAGCTGGCAGATGGCTCCTTTGTCAGCATGCCATGTGCGTGGGGCAGAGAGACAGAAAGAGAGAGAGAGATCCCCATCCTCACATGCTGCACACCTCAAAGGCAGGCAGGTGAGGACAGAGCAGGCTCAGCTGTGAGGGCTGCAGCAGCAGTTGGAGAACAGAGCAGCTGCCTCACTTCATGCTCACGGATAGGAGATCCTGCTGCAGCATGCTCTATACCATGGCACATGGGGGGAGAGACTTTTGCCCAGCATGCCATGTGTTTAGGGCAGCAAGAGAAGACCCCTGACCTGCACCATGTGTATAGGCAGGCAAGAACAGAGATAGAGAGATAAGATGGGCCACTGACTAGTTATGCATGGCCAAAGTCCTCAGCCATAGGACCAACTTATAAAAAGAATTGTTTATAAAAAAATTGGCATGCAACAGCTGTCTTAATGTGAAAGTCATCTTATTAACAGACTGTTGTAAGGATAGTCATCCAAGGTTGAAAAATTATTTATGCTGAACATGAAAACCTATTAACAAATTTAAATTTACTTTACAAAACTTGTTACTTGTAGTTTTCCCCTTGTAAGATTTCTATGAGAAACGCATCAACTAGGAGTAGATGATGATCTGGAGCTGGGACAGGGACCAAGGGTAAAGAAAGGGGGAGGGGAGGAGCCGAAGGTTTTCTCCCTGCCTTCGGAGGAGGTAGGAGAGTCATAAATGGGGCTGCCCATGTTGGGGGTCTGTAGAAAAATTTTCCCAAATAACAATGTATACTATCTGGTCCAGGTGTCCATGGGGTCCCTTGTCAAAGACCCGATCCTAAACCTGTAAGATAATTTCTAGGTTAAAATTCCTATCCCGTGGCCAGCCCACATCAAAGGTTTGCCACTCAGATGTGCAGGTTACACTGGTCAGAGGCACGAATCTGCACTTCATTCCAGTGATCTAAAGTAAGGCTCAAAGGGGTGGTTATGGTTTGTCCCATGCTTGAATCAGAAAACTCAAAATACAAAGACAAGTAGACGAACAAGACAAATAACACAATTTAGCAACTCACAACCAGACATACTGCGAACGTTTGGCAGAGAATTGAAAGTAAATACTCAGACAGGTCAACAGGAGTAGTGGTCCCATTTTTCCCTTTTCAGGCCCATGAGATTCAAACAATTGAGCTCTCCAGATCCCTGGCACATCTGCCAGGGTGGCAGGGGAGAAGTCTGGGCTCGTCAGCCCCTTCTCAAGCCGCCCTAGTTACTGAATGACTACGTAGACAACCTGCTTGGAGGCAGATCAACATACATACATATAACAAAGAACGGGCACTGGTGATTCTGGGGCAGAAATCTCGGTGGGACCTCCAATGAAAGACTTCGACCTCAAAGCAGTGGGCACTGAACTGAACTCTCTGCCCAAGAACCAGGGCCAGACCACTGGCTGCAAATGCAAGAGGTGATTTACTGAGTACACAGGTGCCTGCAGATGCTACTGCAACTCGGGTGCAGAGCATCCGGGCTTGTAGGGAGTACAATATTTATAGAATTTTAATGGTTACATAAGTATCAGCATAGCAACAGGTATTTCATTGGCTACTTAAGCATGGGCTGAGATCATCTTGGGGGCAGGGGTAGTTGCCAAGGACTAGGTTTCCTACATGAAAGACCCCAGCATGCTTCAGCAATTATTATCCGGGTCCCATGACTGCTATAGTGATCCCAGACATCCTGTTTTGAAGGTGAGACAAGTAGTCTGGGTTTTTCCACTAGGCAATGGGCTGGCCTTGCTTTTCTTCTCCTAGGGGGTCCTAAGTAGGGGTCTTTCAATTCATTCATTCATTCATTCTTATTTTTTTGCAATCCTTGAATATGCACAAGTCCATTAGCAGTGCTGCAAGAGCTGCTGAGCCAATATTCTGCTTTGCTTGACAAGACTGTTACTGCTTCAGAAATACCAACAAAACAGATTCCAGTAGAAAACATTAGGCTAAGTCATAGGTGAGACAGAGCCTGACAGTAGGTAAATTTTCAGAAGCAAATGGAGAGGAAGAACAAAGACTCCCACTGTTTCTTTCCTTACCTACGTTTTCTACATGACAAGGCATGGCTAAAATATCGGAAGTTTACCCTAGAGTTCTGTACAATGTCAGGCTGGCTGTCAGGACCAGATCCTCTTAGGAGACTATGTCACAGTTCCTGGATGAAGGAGAGGAAAATGGTATTTCCAGCTAACAGCTCAGATCTTACTCTCTCGGGGAGCCAAACACAAACAGAGAAACAGTAGTGAGAACAGAACAGAACTCATCTAGTTAGGCCCTCATGCTTCACCAGCCTCTGAACCAGCAATGCTGCCTTCCTTCACCTCTGCACAGAGCCATCAAAGGCTCCAGTGCGTGCAAAGCAAACCCTTATTTCATCTCTGTCTTCATGAAGGGTGGAGTTCAGATGTACAGTCCCTAATATAAGGTGATTAAGTTTGGGGGCTGCTTTATAGTTCCATTCCATTTATACTGTACCCCCAAGATTGCTCATCTTCATGAAAGTCTGAAGCCACAGCATGTTCTTCTTTTTGATTCTACCCAACTATAAGTTCTACTGCACATGAGACTAGCAAAAGGCTATTAGCTTCAAGGGAGAATTATTCAAGTGTACACCACTTTCTCTTTTCACAGTACAAAATGTTGCACGTTGAAACTGGCAAGACACTCTTCCTTTCATTTACTTTCTCAGTCACCAGAAAGACTCAGGCCATTGAGAACACACACTCCTTTCTGCTTCTGAGAGATCACTGCAAAAGGCACTGCTTCAGACAAACTATATAAGAGAAAATTGTCTTCTTCCCTTTTGTAGTAATCTCCTCTGTTCAAGGAATCCCTCACAGAAAAATTGCATTGAGCCAGTAAAACGTTGATGCCAATGGCTTCATAATCCCTGTGAACTTGTTTTGGTGTGTGGATCCCTGCTGAATCTAAAAACTGTATTGCACTGAAGTAAATCACAATAGTATGCAGCTCCAAGGGATCATGGGAAAGCTGCACTGAAACTTCATCTTTGATGCCACCAAAAATCACGGTTTCCTTCTTGAGCTCAATGTGGCTGCCACAACGACAATGAGCTCGGTTGGAATCGGTGCCTTGAGCTTGTCCTTGAAGTGTTTGTTGAGTTCTTTGGTTGGCAAAAGGACCAGAAGACACAAAAGGCTGGTGACAAGATCACAGACATTGGTCTTATGAATGTTTCTGAAGATGTGAATCCAGGTAGTGATGACTGAGCCTATACCAGTGCTCCGAGGAAGGCTCAGCCCAAGGAGGTACTTGGCCTGAGATGTCAGAATGGTGAAGAAGTCACCCGTGACAAACTCACTCTGCAAGGCATCTGAGAGGTAGACAGAGACAAAGCCCACTTGAAAGAAGCCCATTGCTACCTGACAAACTCCAGCCATGAAGGCCACAGTACTGCCAATTTTAATTGCATTAGAACTTTTGTTACAAAGTCTGTCTAATGTATGGTTTACTAACTCGGATCCATTTGAAACCAATGCTATTGAAGATGATGTAGCCACAATGTCAGGGCAGGTTTTATGTACTTCTCAGTCAACTACCTCACCAATCATAAGGCACAGTATTCCAAAAATGCCCACCGAGATGTGGCGTGAGATACCAAACAGGCAATAAATGATGCTGGCAAAAAATGATGTATTCAGACCATGGATAGGCTCTTGGCCAGCCAACAGGGAGTAAGCAATAGACTGGGGCACCAAAAGTATGCCCACAATCAGGCCAGACATCACATCACCTAAAATGTTTTTCTTGAGATCATATTTTGGGAGCCACCGCAAAACAGGAAAGAAATCAAAAATCATATTTCTGACTTTGCCTAGGCTACACTGGCAACTCTTCTGAAGCTTTCTGATGACAACTTTTTTGATGTTAATATCTGGTTTCTCCCGAGGTTTCATATGAATCCTACGATAATGTCTGCATCCATCATTGGTCTCCAACTGCTTGAAGTCAGTGCTTGATCTCCTTTGCATTTCCAGGGGGGGCTCAGATGGAAGACTGTAGACTTCTTCAGGTAATTCCCTCGGAGAGAGAGCATGCTGCTCTTTATCTTCCAAAGACATTTCTGGAGATAGATGGCTCACTTCCCTGAGCAAGTCAAACAATTAGTAGGCTGGTCCTCAACACAGAGCCCGTCTTCTCACTGCCTATTTTCCCGAGCCTGTTTGAGTGATTTTCTGTCTGGGGCAGTATTTGGTCAAGGGGCTTTTCTAAACCCTAAGGCTCTGGCCACACTGCCTGGGCTCCCGCGGCACGTCTTCCCATAAGACTGGGCTGCGGGAATAACGCCGCATGGGCATAGGATGCCTGGCTGTGAGCAACCCTCCCTTTATCGCCCAGGCCACCGTCCCTGCCCATGGCCTGGCTCCAAAGAGCGAAATATGTACTCTTAAGAAATAAGGGAACCCAGTCTTGAACCCTATGATCATCTGTCCCCCCTCTCTGTCACTGTGTTGTTTCAGTACAGCTCAGTGTTTAGCAGTGGGTGTCCTCCTCTGCTTCCATCAGACATTGGTTGAAGGACACCAGTCTGATTGCTGGGAATCCAACATGGGACTGATCCAGACCTCCTGAATGTGTGTGACAGTGAGGAGACCTAGGCAATCTATGGGGACTTGGGTAGTATTTAACCCTTACATTCAAATGGACTTTGGGTGCCCATCTCACAATGAGATATGCTCTCTCTGCCTGGATTCTTGAGGCAGGGCCTAGGCCTGGCCCTGGATGAAATGACAGACTATGGATACACCCCATGGAGGGACTCACCCTCCCTGGGGAAAGGAGTTCGAATTGGTGGAGAGGTTTGTCTGTGGGTTGATGGGTGGACAGGGGAGGGAGAAGGGAAAGTGCGAGGGACCTGGGATTGACCTGTGAGGAAACGTAGTTTCTAATTTAAATGTAAAAATTAAAAAGACATAAAAAGGAAAAAAAGAAATGAGGGAGCAATCTTTCACAAGACTCCGAGTTGATCTTTTACATTAATTACCTGTCTCTACTATTTTCATCTTAAAGCTTTAACACATTCAAAAATTTCTTAAATAGATCTTCAAGTCCGAAGACAGATGCATCAATGACAAAGTAGAATCTTTCTAAGGATTCTCAGGAAAATGATTTCCAAGCTGAGATAATCCATTCATTAAGCCCAAACCACCAGTAAATGACTGAGCATTATACAACATGGAGTTTATTCCAACCATGGTTTCTCCTGTGCAGTGGGAAGAAGATACCTCTAACTCCCCAGTTGCTCAGCTCAACTTTTCCCACATGACAATGGTTCATTTTGAAACAGGAGATGCAAATCTTCTGGGAGATGTTCATCTCCTGGTTGTAGTCAGAAAAGCAGGGGAAGGAGCAGATGATTTCTCAGCTGGTTTTGGTTCAGTC